GATGATGTATTGAGAGACGTATGGAATAACCAAATGCAGGTGAACAAATTAAGATGATGTATTGAGAGACATATGGAATAACCAAATGCAGGTGAACAAATTAAGATGATGTACTGAGAGACATATGGAGTAACAAAATGCAGATGAACCAAGCAAGATATTTCAATATACAAGTTTGTATTAATTAAGCTCAAACTATGATCATAATATCAGCATATCTTCTGTGAAGACTGTAAATTGGGAGATGAGTGAATTTGCTAATTGAATATGTTCAACTAATGGACTATTGTCACAAGGTACCTAAAAACAAACTTATAATCCTAAACATTTGGTTTCAATACCTACTGTAAGCATGGCATCTAAAGCCCCTTGTGTAGCTTTGTGTTTAACAAGAAATAAACATAATGGCAATAACTTGATTAATTGGATAGTTGGAATGACTGAAAATGATAACAATCGAAAACCCTATTGCTTAATTATTTTCATGAATCCTGACATTAATCAATTAAACTGAAAAAAACTTGAATTAATTGAAAATAATTAATGAAAAATCATAAAGGCAGTATTTTGATTAATGGATAGTAGAATAATTTAAAACAGTAATAAGTGGAGACACTAGCTGGTTATTTTCCATTACATTAATCAATATAATTAATGCTTATAGGTAATCAATTATATAGACTGAGTTAATTAACCAACTCTTGTAAGTAGCAATGAACACCAACTACAGCATCAGGGCAGCATAAACTGAGGGCAGTGAGCATGATTACAAATACATTCAAACCTCTACAGTGTGAGAAATAACTAACATCTAAAGGTGGGAGAACAAAAATGTTTCAACCTTAGTAAACTATTGGTGATTCTAACTTGGGTACATCATTAGTAGTTTAAACTTACTCTACCAGCTAAAGATGGGAGAACAAAAATGTTTCAACCTTAGTAAACTACTGACGATTCTAACTTGGGTACATCATTAGTAGTTTAAACTTTTGAAAACTATTATTGGTTCATACCTTAAGAAGGTATTAATAATTTTTGCTTTAACAATGCATTATGGGTTCAATCATTATGAAATTATTACTGGATCAAATCATAAGAAAGTATTATTGGATCAAATCATAATAAAGCAGTACTGTATTATAATTTAAAAGTACTCATGGGTCAAGACTTTGAAAAAGTACTACTAGTTAAAAGTTTGAAAAACCATTAAGGAGTTATTGGTAAAAACCATAAAACAGCATTTTAATCCTATAAAAAGTATTCTTGGTTAAATTTTGAAAAACCATTACTAAATTAAACCACTGAAAGGTTTTAAAGACTGAAAACTTGGGAAGACAGAGATGGATAAAAAAGAACAACATATGAAGGTGTTACTATTTCAAGATAGCCGATTGAAAAAAAAAACAAAAAAAACCTGACTTACTTTTCCACTCTAACACAGCAAGATCTCTGTCTTCAAAGGATTCATCATAAGGTTCAGCAACTGGTTCATCACTTGGATCAGCATACTGGGCAAGATAAGGGTGAGCTAATGCTTCAGTAGCAGTGGGACGTTTGTCTGCATCTAATTCTAGCATCTTCTCCAACAGATCAATTGCTGATACATAAAATAGAAATGATCAATACAATAACTTGTCACAAAGACCAACAAGAAATCTGAGAACAAAACTAAAACCTACTTACAGTACTACATATATCTGAGAATAATACTGACAATCAAGTGTACCTCAACTTTTTAAACTTCAACTGACATCTAAAAGGTTTTAAAACATTTTTCAAACCCAAGCAGACACTACCAGCATCCAGCCAAAATTCCAGATTTATCCATTAGATGGTGACAGTATCTGATAACATTGGCTGAAAACAAATACAAACCATGTTTTTATCACAAAATTATAAAAATTGAAATTTTATAAAGGTATGGTGATAATTATTAGGAAATTATGAAAATAATTCTATAAGAAAGTGCAAAACATTATGGGTTTAAAGAGTTAAGAGACCATAAATTAAGAAACATTCAGACATCCTGATCTTCACTTTGTAATTACCTTGACTCTTAAAAGCCAGTACAGTTCTTTTCATGTTGTTAGTATACAACAAACCCTACTTAAGAATTCACCCTTCCCGAGTTACATGTAGCTCTTGTACTTACCACACCTAAGTTCCATTAAATTACTGAAAATCACTCTGCTGAAAATAAATTATAAGAAAACCAAAATAAAATTAATCCTTAAACAAATAACTAATTTTACCATTAGGATTAGCTCCTTTAAAGACATCTCTGAAGTTTTTCTTCTTCATGACAGGCAGTGAGCGAATATAATTCCTGGCCTAGAATAAAAAGATCTAATATATAACTAATATAAAACAGTAATGTAAAACAGAAGTTAATGTTTCAATGCACGTCTTGCATTTCTATGTTAGCATCAAGATAAATATATTTTGATATTGGTTCCATCTAATAATTTACATTACATGAAGAAATCGTTTAAAACAACTGCAAACTCAGGATAACAGTGTCATCTAGTTTAAGAATAAACAAGCAAGTGAAAAAAAACAAAAAACATCCCATTAGTCCAACAGATAAGGCAAGAATTAAGAAAATATGGTTATTATGATTAAAATAATAATAAAAAAAAAGCCTTCTGATCACAAAAATACTTTTTCAGAAAGCCTATGTAAAAAAAAAGGCTATAGTTACAGTTAAAAGTTTATATTTTACACATATATTAATATAAATAAATAAATAAATAAATAAGAGTTATAATATTTAAGAAGCTTATCATCACCAACTCAATAAACACGACTATCTAATATGTCAGAAACAACTCTCCTACTTAAAGTAGGGAGAACATAATTGTTTCAACATTAGAAAACCACTGTTTGTATCTAAATTTTTGCCACTGCTTTAAAATACAAATAAACCTTTGATAAAATGCATTAGTGTGTTTTATTATCATATCTAGATGCTTAACTGTATCTCACTCTGTAGCCTTAACAGCTTTTACAATGGTGTCTCCAAAGTTAAGATATAAAAGCTTGGAAGCAAAAATGAATATAGGCATCTAACAATTTAAAGATGAAAAAAAAAAATCACTCAAAATAAACTTGTATTCTGTTACAAATCTGTGTTGACTATGCAGCCTTTACATTCATCTACTGGAACAGCTAAGCCTAATTTGAACTTTCAACAATTCATAACCCATGTCTTCACAAAGTTTAGTTTTTTTTTTTAAATTATGATATACACGTACATCAAGTCAGAAATAGTCTAGAAAAATAAACAGCTCTTAAAAATATTAATCCATGCCTAAAATTCACCATCATCTTAATACTGCTTAAGCAAGAAACAAATGTTTTTTGACTAAGCTACAACACTGTTTTATGAATAATCATACTAGTATAATGAAATGGTGTAAACAGAATGCAAGTCATTATTTTGGTTTATAGCAACCACCTCCACTATGATACAGAACATACAAGGACTGTACAGAAAGATTAAAGGCACACTTTAACCCACCTCCTCACTAGTAATCTTATTCATGAAATCCTGGGTTGGAGTCCCACATAACACCATGATTCGCATTAGTTGGTCAATATCTACTATGTGTTAAGGTCAGAATAACAGATACTAGATAGAAAGATATTTTCTACAACTAACAATTAGATAATCATGCAAAAAAAACTCAATCTATAAATTTTGTCATCACAATGTTATTCTTTAAATAAAGTTATAAACTAAACCATTTAAACTGTTACACTGAATTAGCATTAAGTTTTGCATAGAAAAGTTAATCAGTTATTAATCCAACCCTAGTTTTATTCTTAATGACAATAACTGAGAATTTTGGTTAGCTTAAAAAAAGGAAGAAGCTGAAAGTATAATAACCAAGGAAAGTAGGTATCAGATTACACAAGTGTGCATGTGCGCTTGCCCGTGCAAGTATAAATTTATCTCAAATAAAGTTTTAGGTCATAAGAATAACAAAGATGCATTGAGATAGACAGACATTACATAAAGTTTACCAGCAGCAGCAGCTTGCCTGTTACATCATTATTTCACTTTAGTGCCTCTCATTGTGGTGAAGAAACAAATACATCTATCTTCAAAATCTTAAAGGAAACATGTAAACTCCACTTATGAAGGATGCACCACACACAAGCTTTAAATTAAGTTTAAAGTTTTTGCTACTTTTCAGCAATGATCCATACATGTATATAAATTTGAAATAAATATGGTGGGATATCCAAATAATTCAGCAAAGAAAAAGTTTAAAATACAGCTCGAAAACAACTTAAAATTTTAAATCTAAAATTTTCATTAGCAATGCTTTTTTTTTACTTGTATATGTCTGGCTTTATTGATGTTTAGTATGAGAGTTTTGTAAGTATATATACTACAGCCAAACAAAAGCTAAAAGAACCAAGTTTCAGAACTACATATAAAGAATACAACTACAATAGCCATGAGTGTGCATGCATGTGTATAAAAGAAATAAGCCACTAAATTTTAGTTACTTAGTGTTAAGTCTGTTAGACCTTTCTCACAAAAAATTCATGGATAACAACTAATGATTCTTTTGTACCATATTTCATTTCACTTTTTATTATTGTAGCAGAATAACCAGTTTAAAATGAGGTACACATCAATGTGTTATACAGCACACTCAAAAATATGCTTGAATAAATGCTATCCTTCCTTCAGCTAAAGAGACAATATAATGTATTTCATGTATCTGAGCTATATACATTCTCTCTTTTTTAAACACATGTATGTATATACTTGCTGCGGATATATAAATAATCTGTTACATAAATTCCAAAAGATTTAAATTATATTTACTTCACATAACTTTGATACCTGTATTTAACAGTTGGAAAGTTCATTTAAGCAAACTATACAGTTTGAACAATGAATTATTATTATCAAGATAACTGTTTATTATCTTTATAATAAGAATTCATTGTTCAAATTGTAAAAGGTTCTTCTCTGTCATAATAAAATTGTGGCTGCTATACTAGTAAATAAATCCAACTAAAAAGCACAATTATAACTTAAGTAATTACATGCAATTCAGTAACATAAAAATGGAAAATAATTTCAGTCAAATCAAATCATGAATTTGACCAATGGCATTTTCATACTTCAACAAAAAAATAGTTAAAAACTTTACCTTTGAAAAGTACAAGCTAAGAAAGTGAAAAATCTTAAAAGCTAAAATACCTTAAACCATACCTTATCACACTGTAGTAATTTTTGAGATGATCTTCATTCAAATGCCACAAAAACCTTCATTCTTGCAATGTAGTAAAAAGGACCACAACACATTTTATATTGTGGTTTTGAAACCCTTTCATTTCACGTTTGATCTGATAAAAAAGCCTTCCACAATGAAGTTATTATCCACACACACACACACACACACACACACACACAGAGAATAAGATCACCCAGCGATACACAGACAGATAAAAATTCCATGAAATAATCAGTATTATTCATTCAAAATTGCAAGGTAATTTTCTGCATGCATGAAAACCACAGGTTAAGGAAGGAGTGTTAAACAAGACAGAATACAGGAAGTGTGTTAAACAGGTACCTCTTCGCTGGAAATTTTGGCTAAGAGAGAATCATCAGGCGTCCCAACCAGGCCCATTATTCTGGTAAGCTGATCAATGTCTGCAAGGCATTAAGGAGAAATTCACAAAATATAGGTATGGGATGTTCAGGAGAAATGCAATTACACCAGTGACATAAATATGGTGGTATCTAGAAGTATGAAATCTAACATACCACACAAACCTTTTTTTTTCTCCATTGTGTTTTGTTATATTGCACTTTTTACACTGTAGAAAGGTCAAAGTGATTGACAAAAATTCTTCTGTAATATAAATGTCACCTTAAATTACATAGAATGTTGATATCACAGTCATCCAACTTCATTTAAATATTTAACCTGACACAACCAAACTAACACAAAGGTAGATACATTGTACATGCCATCCCATACACGCTTTCATACTATTGAATATCTTATTAAAGTCCATGCAACTCACCATACTAACAACACTGCTGAATCATCTACAGCAACCATGGATAGTTATTATTTCCTATAGAAAAACTTTGCTTTACCAATACTGTACTGCTTTTTGTGCAATATAAACACACACACACACACACACACACAATCCTTCCAACAAAAGTCCAGAAGGCTTTTTAACACACAACTAACATATATATAACAATTACAATGAAAGTTCAATGTAAAAACTCAAATACAAAAAACAAATTAAAAGGAAATATGTCACAAAGTAGTTCATTAAAATCACACCACATTACTGAAATGTTTGCAACAACTGGCAAGACACATTAACAAATGAAACAGGAGCCACAGAACAAAAAGAAACTTAAAGAAAAAAAGAGAAATTTAACAATTAGCACAAAGCAGTATTTAGATACCCAACAGAAAATAGTAACTTTTGCATATGCCTATACATTTATGTCTTTCTTTTCAGTGGTATGGTAAGAAAAGTATTATATGAAATTTACCAAGTTAGTTTAAAAAGTTTCTGTAATTACACCTCGAATGGCCTTCACAGTCACATATCACCATTGTTTTCACCTACCATAAGACATTTTTTAAAAATAAATTTTCCTTATTTAGTTGGGTGGAGGAGGGGGGATTCTTTTATGTGAGGTCATTCCTTTATAGGAAACTTCTTAGCCATAATGCAAACAGTGGGCCAGTAAAAAATTTGTATTGGTAAGGTACATGTTTGAAGCATTGTATCATATAACTGAAATAACTGTTACAACTATGTGTTATTAATGTAATTTTGTATGATATAATATTTTACTGCTAGTTCTAAGTTTGAATTATTTCTATTACTTTGTGTACATGTGGTAGATACTACTTCACACACACACCTATCACAGATAAATTGTATTGTCCAAGCAAAATGTTTTCAATGTGATGAGATGACAAAATATTAAATATGTGCATTCCTAAGAAGAAACAGACCCCAATTCAAGGTTGTCTTATAGGCAGGTTTCCCCAATAGTCATGTGTAACCCATCCCAAAGAGGGAAGAGTTATCATAAAGGACAACTAGTCTTATGAGTGATCTACAGTAATTAATAAATAGTTTCACCTCGGTCCAAGGGAACTATTGATGGGGATACTTCACAGAACTCAAGCCATCTCATTCTTCTTGATAAATCCATACTGAACTAATTAAAAGCACTGACCAATTTTCAGTTGATATGTTTAAAATTGTTCAGTCCAAATATAAGAATGTTTCATATCACTAAGCAGATGAACTAATCATGTTGAATTGTTTCGTTTAAACAAAAAACTTCAGTTTTCTGTTTATAGAACAAAGTCAAAATTATGAAACCTGAAACTTTCATTTCATACGAAAGGTAGAAATTTGAATTTTTACTTACTCTAACTTAATATTTAATTATCCAATTCTAGTTATTCTATTAAATGACAAAAAACCTTTCCCAAGTACACTTGAACTAATCAAGAACACTAAGCATAAACAATGTATATAAAAGCACACTAAACTGATGACAACAAAAATTAAAATTACAGTTGGAATATTCTTTAGCTTTTTACATGTTAGCTAGTTCAGTTATGTAAAGAAACGTTACACCTTTAAATTTGTTCTTCAACAGAATCTTACTTATTTTAAAATTGAAGTCAATGGCAACATTAGTCTTAATTAGACCTCCTCTGATTTCACAGGTACATCTATACCAAAGTTAAAACCGTTTCTCTGAAGTTACATAAGCATACTGAGGTACAGGCTGACAAAATGAGAACTGAAATGTAAATTAGAAAAATGGAAAGTAAAACTACAGATAAAATAGACAGTTCCTCTCAAACATATACAATAATTTTCATTTTAATGCATAATGTTTCAGCTTATATTAGGTGCTATACATAGATATAAGGAATAAGTATAAGAAATCTGAAGGACAACCAGAAATGATTGACATCGTATAACAAAAATTTGCATAAGCCAATAGAAGAGAAGCATTTCCTTTCTAGTATTTATATTTTACCAGTTTTTTTTTTTGTAGTTGCTAATACTTATTGTGGTCACTTAAAAAGTGTGATTCAAAAGACTTACAACAATGCATCTAAATACATTATATTCATTGGTGTACTGTACACGTATGACCAATGCATTATATTGTTAAAATAAGCATAAATTATTGTAACACAATATAGGGTTAAAAGTAGGACAAATAAGTTATCAATCTAGGAATTTAAATGTTTCTGAGAACAATCCACATGGCCTCCATGATATGGCTTTCCAAAATAGCACAAACTGAATATTCTCTTACATCCTATTGCATCTATCTCTAGAAATCCGAGTGAATGATTAACTTGGCCACTAGAAACAATTCTTACTCAACTCTTGGACTTCATCCCTACTAATATGAAAGATCTTAGAGACTTTCCTAATACTGTAACTCTTGGAAATATAATTTTCAGTGTGGATGTTCAAGCACTGTAGAGTTACATTTCCATTAAAAACAATATTGTGAGCTTTCTTAATTTCTCAGAAAAACACTTCACTGGAAGAAC